CCAGAGGTTCCTCAGAGGAAAAGCCTGGTGATATGCTTCTGAAAATCAGCCATTGAAAACGTTACAGAGCACAGTTCTACTCTGCAACACGTGGAATCCCCATGAGTTGATTACAGCTGGTTAGGGATTCCATACAGGGATTGGGTGCTAACAGAATCGCTGGAAGGGCTGAACGGAGAAGCAGGCCCTAGCAAGACCTCCAGGACTGACTCTTAAAATAGACCTGGCCCACCAGCAGCGTTACTATCTGAGGCCACCTCTGCAGCCACAATCAAAGAGCAGGGAGCTGTAGTTAAGAAGCTGCAGCCACAGCTGCCACTCCACACCCAGGAAGCTGGGGAAGGGACAAGGAAGCGTGCTGCAGAATATCCTTACATTTCTGCAATCATGCTTGTGAACGAGAAACAGCCCAAAGGCAGAGTAATACCCTCCAACTCCTTCCCACCTTCCACATCTGACAGAAATACGGCTAACGGGCAGCACCTAGTTCACATCCCAAACCCCAGCTGCAAGCCAGGCTGGGAAATACAGCTTTTCGCTTTCCAAAGTGCAATGGCGGGGGGGGGGGGGGATGGCGAGCAAGCCATGCCAGCGCAGCTCCACACCATGGGTGTGCATAGAGATGTGTGCTCAGGGCATTCACGTTAGCATGGTGTACAGCAACAAGATGGAGACCATCTAAATGCCCAGCACCAGTCCACCTCTTCCCACTACAGTAGAATTCTATGCCACCTGGAGAGGATGATGCAGTCTGTATATAGTGGCGTGAGATAAGGTCATAATAATACAACACCCCCCCCAAAAAAAAAAAAAAACAAAAACAAAAAAACACCAGGCTGCAAAATAGAGTTCACCATATAATTTCATTTTTTATTAACAGAATTTTTTTTAATATATTTTATTGTACTTCAGGTGAAGGCTTACAGAACAAATAGTTTCTCATGAAACAGTAGTACACATGTTGTTTTATAACATTGGTTAATGACCACACAACATATTAACCCTCTAACTTCTCAACCTTTTTTTTTTGGTGAAACTACACATAGCCAAAGATACACCGAATTAACAGAATTTTTGAAGAATGCAGAGAAAAAAAAAATTCCAGCAGAATAAACACTAGACCATGCTGGTGCCAGTGATTAAACGCTGGGCTGCTAACTGAAAGCTTGGCCGTTGGAACCCACCAGCTGCTCCGTAGGAGAAAGATGGGGCAGTCTGCTCCCGTAAAGATTACAGCCTTGGAAGCCCTGTGTAGGCAGTTCTACCTTCATACGGGTCGCTGTGAGTCGGAATCGACTCCACTGCAACTGGTTACCTTTGGGCAAAGGGACTACAGGAAATTTTTTGTTTCCTCTCAACCTTTTCTGTGTTTTCCAAGTTTTTAAAAATAGTGCATATATTCTTTTTGTCCTTAGGCTAGAAATGTATTTTTAAAATGCACAAATATCCTCATAAAGGAATTGGGAGCAGTGAAAGTGGAAGGCACAGTCAGAAATTAGTGAACCCAGGGGGAGTTGGGGAGGAGGAGAGACAAAGAGGTTAAGGAGAGGCTAAGTATGACCATGGAACAAGGCACCTCGGGCGGGAGTGAGAAGGAGAAATGCAAAACGTGGTTGGCGTCCAGCCTCAGAGAGTCTATCTGTACGACCTGGGCAAGTCCCTGCCCCTCTCTGGGTATGTTTCCCGTCCCAAACGAGGACCCTAGGATCCCAGCTCTGAGCGGCGTGGCCACCCGGCGCGCGCAGAGATGCGGCGGCGAGAGCGCCAGAGCGGTACCGGCGGTCCCAGAGGTAAGGGGCTGGGGCAGAAGAGGATAGGGCGCTAGGCCCCGGGGAAGCCGGATCCCCGCGCACAAGGGTGGGAGAAAGGGGGCCTTGGCCGCGACGCGGGATATAAGCGGCCCCAAGCGCAGGCGGAGCCTCATTGGCTGCTGCGCCAGGGCGCGGGGGCGGGACCTGAGGCGAGTATTAGGCGAGCAGCTGGACTAGACGCGGGGGAGCGAACCGCGTCCTGCTCTGCCGCAGGTAACCAGCCGCCTTTCTGCCCCTCAGCGCCTGTCCGCGTGATGGAGGCTTTTCTCTCTGGGTCCCGCCTCCCCATCTAGGGGCCAGCGGACCCTCTCCACGCCCCCAACTCCAGTTCCAGGGGGCATCTGATGGGCCCCGAGGACGAAGGACCCCCAAATCTTAGCCCGTTAGCTGCACCTCACCACTCCGCCCACTCGGTCTACTCCAGCTGAGACTCTCTGGCTCCCGAGGGTGGGGAGAACGAGAGGGTACAATCCTAAGCAAAACAAGAGTCAGTACAGGGTGAACTGTAAGAAATTGCCCATATTCCAGACTTATAACGGCCTTATAGGACAGAGTAGAACTGCCCCATAGAGTTAAGTATAAAGCTAGGGCTCTGGAAATCGCGGCTGGCCTCCCCTACTTCCTTGCCATGTGCCCTGGGTGAGACCTTGAACCTCTCTGATCCCCAGCCTTCTTCCAGAATAGGGGCCATCATCTGCTCTGATCGCCCCGGGGCTGCTGTGAGGCTCCATGAGTTAACTGATGAGAAGATTCCCACAAACCGTAAAGTGTGGTGTGCCTGTGAGCCTTGATCCTCCCATCTGCAAGTGGAGGCACCAGCGCAGACACAAATGGACCCCTAGAATGGGAATGGCAGTAGTGGCCAGCTTTGGTCTGTGACTGCCTCTCCTGCCTGCTTAGCCCCTTCACCCCCACCCCATGATTCCTGACTCCCCCTTTTCCCCACCTCCTCTTGGGCCCTGTTATGGATTGAATTGTGTCCCCCCAAAATGTGTATCAACTTGACTAGGCCGTGATTCCCGGTATTGCATGGTTGTCCTCCGTTTTGTGATCTGACATGATTATTCTATGTGTTGTAAATCCTAACCTATATGATGTTAATGAGGCAGGATTAGAGGCAGTTATGTTAATGAGGCAGGACTCAATCTACAGGATTAGGTAGTATTCTGAGTCAATCTCTTGTGAGATAAAAAAGAGAGAAGCGAGCAGAGAGGAGCGGGAATTCATACCACCAAGAAACAAGAGCCAGGAGTAGAGTGTTTTGAGAAGCTCCTAGACCAGGGAAGATTGATGACAAGTACCTTCCCCGAGAGCCCACAGAGAGAGAAAGCCTTCCCCTGGAGCTGGCATCCTGAATTCGGACTTCTAGCCTTCTAAACTGTGAGAGAATAAATTTGTTTGTTATAGCCATCCACTGTGTTATTTCTGTTATACCAGCACTAGATAACTAAGACCGGCCCCTTCCCCACCGGGCAGTGCTGCTGGGCCCAAGACAGCCTCTGTTCCAGCGCCAGGCAGAGGCTTGAGCACTGTGGAACCTGGGCCCCACCCATGACAGGGCCACTCGTTCAACTTCCCCCCAAGGGGGGGCTTTCCTGGTCAACATTGATTTTTAAGGGCTGGGCACCTGGTTGGGGCGTTGCTTTTCTGAATTCGTACTTTGTCCCCCTGCCCCTCATTTCCCACCCACCCCTGGGGTGGAAGGTGGGGAGTGCTGAGATGGGTGGGGCAGGCAGATGCAATTTGATTTTGCTGCTAGATAAGGTAAGACTGAAGTGAAACAGCAAACAGGGAGGGATTTTAATTTTAGCTGGAGAATAACTTTGCTTCAACTAATCTGGGAACCTTTCTCCACTCTTTAAATTTCAATTAATAAATATACGGCTTACATTTGCATAGTTCTTGTTGTTTTAATAGTTTACCACGTTCTGAGAGTCATAGCCAAGAATAAACATACCTGTCCTCCCAGCCAGAGTCTCTGGGTGGTGCAAACAGTTAATGTGCTCAGCTGCTAACCTAAAGGTTGGTAGTTCGAGTCCACCCAGAGGCACCTCAGAAGAAAGGCCTGGTGATCTACTTCTGAAAAATCACCCACTGGAAACCCTATGGAACACAGTTCTACTCTGACACACATCGCGTCACCATGAGTCAGAGTCAAATTGACAGCCACTGGTTTGGTCTTCCCAGCTGCTGCATCCCTGGGAAACCTCAGTGGGGGCTAGGCCTCGTTGGTTTCTGAGAGCACTGCCAATTCCTGGGGTGGAGTGTCAGACTTTTTATATGCACAACCTTATTCAACATAACCCATGAGGCATTTCACATATGAGGAAACAGGCACAGAGATGAGGGTAGTCACTTTCTCAGAAACAACATCTCTGTCTCAGAGTCCCTGTGGTTTCCCCTCCCTTTGTTCAATTCTTAAGCAGCCTTTGTGGAAATTTCCCTGTTTCCTCAGTCTATCATTCAGTAACTGTTTACGGAGCAGCTGTCCTATCCAGGCATAACTGTAGACAGCAGGGAGGTAGCAATGAATGAAACAGAAAAAAAAAACCTGCCCTCGTGGAGCTTACGGTTTACTGGGGGGAGACAGAAAATAAACACATAAGCATGTAAATATAGTATTTGGTATTTCAGATGGGGAGAAATAAAGCAGGGTATGGGGGATAGAGAGGAGCCCTGGTGGTGCAGTGGTTAAAGTGCTCAGTTGCTAACTGAAAGGTCGGCAGTTCGAACCCACCAACCACTCTGTGGGAGAAAAATGTGGCAATCTGCTTCCATAAAAATTACAGCCTAGGAAACTCTATGCGGGTGGTTCTACTCTGTCCTGTAGTGTTGCTATGAGTCAGAATTGACCTGATGGCAACAGGTTTGGTCTTGTTTTGATGGGGGATAGAGAGTGCTGAGGGTGGGAAGAGTTGCAATTTTATCAAGGGTGGTCAGAGAAGGGCCTTGCTGAGACGGTGGCATTTGAGCAAAGAGTGGAGTGACCTGGAAAATAGATGGATCATAACAGGGTTGGATTGGAAAGTTCTTCAGGGTCCTTCTGCCCCTTATAATCTATATTCTAGAGGTGATATCACTTTATGCTAAAGTCTTGGACTATCTGAGCTGGTGGGGCTTTGAGTGACCACCTTGCCACCTCTCGCCTGCTCACCTTGGTTCCTCCTGTCCCCCTCTAGAGTGGTCAGCATGATGCGCTTCCTGGTACCCCAGCTGCCTTCCCTTCGTGGCAGGACTACCCCATACTCCTCAGCAGCAGCACTCCCAAGACCCATCCTGAACCCAGACATCCACTACAACCAGCCATTCATCAACAATGAGTGGCAAGATGCTGTCAGCAAGAAGACCATCCCGACAGTCAACCCCACCACTGGAGAGGTCATTGGGTACATGGCTAAAGGGGATCAAGCTGATGTGGATCAGGCCGTGAAAGCAGCTCACGAGGCCTTCCGCTTGGGGTATCCATGGTGCCGGATGGATGCCTCCAAGCGGGGCTGGCTGTTGCACCGCCTGGCCAACCTTGTGGAAAGGGATCGTGTCTGCTTGGCCTCACTGGAGACCTTGGACAATGGAAAGCCCTTTGTCTCAGTCATCTAGTGCTGTTCTAACAGAAGTACCACAAGTGGATGGTTTTAACAGAGAGAAATTTATTGTCTTCACAGTCCAGTAGGCTACAAGTCCAAATTCAGGGCATCAGCTCCAGGAAAAGGCTCTTTCTCTCTGTCGGCTCTGGAGAAATGTCCTTGTGATGCCTCAGTCTTTTTTTGGTCTGGGAGCATCTCAGCGCAGGAACCTCAGGTCCAAATGACACGCTCTGCTCCCAGCACTGCTTTCTTGGTGGTGTGCGGTTCCCATGTGTCTCTGCTCGCTTTTCTCTTTTATATCTCAAAAGAGATTGCATTAAGACACTAATCTTGTCAACCTCGTCAGTATAACCTCATCACAGTGATAGAATTTACAACACATGAGGAGATCACATATAATCTCATCCTAGTGGTAGAGTTTACAACACATAAGGAAATCACATCAGATAACACAATCATACAATACTGGGAATCATGACCTAGCCAAGTTGCTACACACATTTTTTTGGGGGACACAATTCAATCCATGACACCCTTCCAAGAGTCTTATGTCTTAGACCTGAATGAGGTCATCAAGGTATACCGATACTTTGCTGGTTGGGCTGACAAGTGGCATGGCAAGACCATCCCTATGGATGGTGAGCACTTCTGCTTCACTCGGCATGAGCCTGTTGGCATCTGTGGCCAGATAATCCCGTGGACTTTCCCCTTGGTCATGCAGGGCTGGAAGCTCGCCCCAGCACTCTCTATGGGCAACACTGTGGTCACGAAGGTTGCAGAGCAGACCTCCCCTTTCTGCCCTGTACTTGGCCTCCCTCATCAAGGAGGCAGGCTTTTCCCCTGGGGTGGTGAACATTATCACAGGCTATGGCCCAACGGCAGGGGCGGCCATCACTGGCTCCACGGAGGTGGGCCACCTGATCCAGAAGGCAGCTGGTGATTCCAACTTCAGGAGAGTCACCCCGGGGCTGGGTGGGAAGAGCCCCAGCATTGTGTTGGCCGATGCCGACATGGGCCATGCTGTGGAGCAGTGCCACGAAGCCCTCTTCTTCAACATGGGCCTGTGCTGCTGTGCCGGTTCCCAGACCTTTGTGGAAGAATCTATCTATGATGAGTTTCTCGAGAGAACCGTGGAGAAAGCCAAGCAGAGGGAAGTTGGGAACCCTTTTGAGCTGGATACCCAGCAGGGGCCCCAGGTGGACAAGGAGCAGTTTGAACGAATCCTGGGCTACATCCAGCTTGGCCAGAAAGAAGGTGCAAAGCTTCTCTGCGGCGGGGAGCGTTTTGGGGAACGTGGTTTCTTCGTCAAGCCCACGGTCTTTGGTGATGTGCAGAATGGCATGAGGATCGCTAAGGAGGAGATCTTTGGGCCTGTGCAGCCCTGTTCAAGAAGATTGAGGAGGTGATTGAGAGGGCCAACAACACCAGGTATGGCTTGGCTGCTGCCATGTTTACCCAGGACCTGGATAAGGCCATGTACTTCACCCAAGCACTCCAAGCTGGGACGATATGGGTGAACACCTACAACATTGTCACCAGCCACACACCATTTGGGGGTTTCAAGGAATCTGGCAATGGAAGGGAGCTGGGGGAGGATGAACTTAAGGCCTACATGGAAGTGAAAACAGTCACTATCAAGGTTCCTCAGAAGAACTCAAGAACGGTCACCATGAGACCAACTCCAGTCCAAGGATTCCACAATCACCTAGACTAGTGGTTGCCAAACTTTTTTTAGCCATGGACCCCCTTTCTTCCAAATGAACTCTTAGAGGGAACCCCAACAAACCAATTAAAATCAGGGCTGTTCTATTTATAGCAGGTATCAGGGTACCCTGAGTCCCATATACCTGGTCCCCAATCCTAGCCCCTTTGGTGGCCCTAAGTCACTGCCATGAAGCCTTAAGAGACTCTGGAAGACAGATTGAAAAGATTTGAGCAATAGCTTTTAGTTCTTTTTGCTTGATCCAAGGACTCTCCAATAGATTAACTTGATGGCTTAGTGGACGACTCATCTCAGACATAGAATTGGAAGGCATTAGAAGGTTTAAACTATATGGACACCAAATTTTGGCCCTGCTGTTCATTGACTTAATCTAAAAATTAAGAGTGATTTTCCTTTCCTAAGTACTATTTGCTGGCTGTTTTGCTTGCATGCACTTCATTTTGCTATTGATTTTCCTTAATTTGAGAGAAGTAGGCAAAGAATACACTTACATAATCATTCCTTTAAAAATAAGCTCAAATAACGCAAATTTCCATCAACTGGATAAGCAAACTATGGTACAGCCTGCAATGGAATATTGTTTGGTTGTGAAAAGGAATGAAGTCCTGATACATGCTATAACATGGATGAACCTTGAAAACATGCTGAGTGAAAGAAGCAGTCAGAAAAGGCCACATAGTATATAATCCCATTGATATGAAATGTTCAGAATAGACAAATCCACAGACATAGAATGTAGACTAGTGGTTGCCAGGGGTTGGGAGGAGAGGAGAAGAGAATGGCAGTAACTACTAGTGAGTACAGAATTTCTTTTTAGGGTGATGAAAATGTTCTGGAATTAATATGCACAACTTCGTGAATATACTAAAAATCACTAAACTTTACACTTTAAAAGGATGAATTTTTATAATATGTGAATTATATCTCAATTTTAAAATAAAATTAATAAATCAATAATCTTATGCATTGTGTTTGCAAATTCACTTTTGTCTCAATATCCTGTTGCTGCTGAACACTTTACAGAGCCTGAGGATGGAAGGGGCCCTGGTAGTCATCTATCAACTCCCAGCCCAGGTGCAAAAATTTCCACAATATTTCCATTTTTATTTTGTTTTCTCTTGGCTGGGTGACAAAGTGCAACTTTAAGACCCACGTGTAACAGCTCTGGTTCCTGCCCAGAGCGAGTCCATTTCAGATTTGATTTCAAGGCTTCCACTGGCATTGTCCTCCCAGGCCCTGCCAACCCCACACCACTCCACAAACCACGCCCAGCACTGGGGCCAACCTGACAGTGCTGGAGGTTTCCAGAATTTCAAACCTCAGAATTCATTATGTTTATTGTTGGTCTTACTACTTTCATTCCCCAATTGATGGGAGTGAAGGTCAGTCCAACCCAGCCAGGCCAGATACAGAAGCAGAATGCTAACCCCATCTCTCCTTGTCCTCCACCTTCCTAGACCATATTACTCACAAACAACCCCACCTCCAGCCCACACAGTCTTGCACATGCACACCCCCAATCATCTCTCTCACATCCTATTACCCTACCTGGGCAGCAAGATGATTTTGCTCATTATCTTAACTTGGGTTTGGCCTTAACTGTTTCCTGAGGATTCAGGGGCTATCCCATCCTCCCATATCCCTATCCTAGGACCTCCTTTCCATACCTTTTGTCCAGGGCCGAGGTGACCCTCACTCCCTGAAAGTGCACCTCTTATCTGAACTCTGGGAGGCTGTTGCATCTGTGCACAGTAGTGAAATTTTCTCATGAACAAACAGGCTGGGGAAATGGGAGTAGGGTGGTTCTGTAATGACTACCAAGCAACATCACAACATTTTAGCAAATCCATTCCATATTTGTTTCTCAATACTTCTAAACCAAAGAGGAGTTTAATAGAGGGCGTCTCAGTATGGAGTGGAGTTGGGAAGAGACAATTCTGCAAGGCCCCTTATTTCCATGCCTGCAATCCTGAGGCCCACCACTCATTTGTCATTTGTCATACTATGGTGGCTTGCGTGTTGCTGTGATGCATGTGACCGGTATTTCAAATACCAGCAGGGTCACCCATGGTGGACAGGCTTTAGCAGAGCTTCCAGACTAAGACTGAATAAGAAGGACCTGGTGATCTACGTCTGAAATAATTGTCCAGTGAAAACCTTATGAATAGCAGCAGAACATTGTCTGAGGCCAGAGAAAATATTGAAGTTGTCAAGGATCCCATATGATTGCATGATTGCACTTAGGGCCCACACAGATAATCCAGGATAATCTCTCCATCACAAAATCCTTAATTTAATCACATGTGCAAAGACCTTTTTCCTTATAAGATAGCATTTACCGGTTGTAGGTATTAGGACCGGTTGTCTCTGGGGGTCCTTATTTTGCCTATCACATGAGTTTAATGAGTATCTTGCTAGTCTCTGCCACAGCAGTAAATTCAAATCCGGGTGAAATATGAAGCAGCCCTTGTCTTCTTCTCCAATCTCACATTGCCAGGAATAACGCAGCTCATTTCCAGTTTCTCAGGTGTATACACTATGGGCCAGAAAGGGGAGCATACTGAGCACATCTGATCAAACCTAAGTCTGAATGCCCCTGCGGAATAACCCAAACATCCAGCTTTTTCGCCGGATCCATCAGATGGCTGTTACATCACGCTGGTTCTTTTCATCAGACGTGAAACCGTTTAGGAACTTTCATTTCGTTTGCCTCCATTCTGGATGTGATCCTGATCCCTGGTGGCCACTCTATTAATTAATTTTCTCAGATGATTCATTGATGAACTAGGTCAAAAAAAAAAAAAAAAGCTGAAGTCCTGGCTCTAGGCAGGGGAAAGAGAACTGAATAAAATAGTTCCTGGAGGAGTTCCTGGGTAGTGCAAACAGTTAACAACCTCAGCTGCTAACTGAAAGGTTGGAGGTTTGAGTCCACCCAGAGGCACCTAGGAAGAAAGACCTGGTGATCTACTTCCGGAAAAAAAAAAAAATCAACGTATGGCAATTGGCATAATATAGTTCTTCAAGTTTATCTTCTACCTCCTAGTATGGTGAGTAGTGTCTGGGGTCTTAAAAACTTGTGAGCGGCCATCTAAGATACGACTACTGGTCTCTATTCTTCTGGAACAAAAGAGAAAGAAGGAAACCCAAGAATCAGAGAAGGAACCGGACTAGAGGACTGTTTGTCTCCATGAACCACTGCCTCCTCTACCTTAGACCAGAAGAACTAGATGGTGCCCGGCTACCACTACCAAACATTCTGATCAGGGACACAGTAGATAGATCCTGATAGAAAGGAGAAAAATGTGGCACAGAACTTCAAATTCTTAAAGAATTTATTGGACCAGACTTATTGGACCTATTGAGGCTGGAAGAGTCCCTGAGAATCTGGCCCTGAGTTACTTTTCCAATCTTGAATTGAAGCTATCCTCTGAAGTCACCTTTAAACTAAGTAACAGTTTAGCTCTAAAAGTAAAGATTGTCACCCTCGAGTGTTGCGTTCTTTTAAAAAATTATCTATTTGAGACCAAAGGGTCAACAGCTATTTTAAAGCATAAAAGAGAAGGTTGTGGGGCAGGGAGTTTAAGTTAATCGGAGTGAAACAAATAGAAAGAAAGAACGAGAATGTTGACACAATGTGAAGAATGTAACCAATATCTGATCATTATGTCTAGAAACTGTGGAATGGGAGTCGGTTTTGCTGTATTTTCACCAAAAATAAAATAAAATATTAATTTAAAAAATCAGCCTATGGAGCACAGTTCTACTGTGACACATATGGGGTCGCCATGAGTCAGAGTTGACTTGATGGCAACTGGTAGTGCTAGCCCTCCAGGAACGCAGTCTGGTAGGGGAGACAATCACAGAATGGAGTCCAAAGTGCTAAGATAAGCAGAAGTACAGGGGCCATGAAATCTCAGAACAGGAATAACAGTTATTAAGCACTATAATCTGCCATCTCATTTAATCCTCCTAACTACCCTCAAGGCAAACTGAAAAAAAAAAAAAAGAAAAAGAAAAATCCAAACCCAATACCATCAAGTCAATTCTGACTCATAGAGACCCTATAGGACAGGGTAGAACTGCCCCTTAGAGTTTCTAAGGAGCACCTGGTAGATTCAAACTGCCGACCTTTGGGTTAGCAGCCATAGCTCTTAAGCACTACACCACCCTCAAGGCCCTTATCATTATTACGCCATACTTAATAAATGGGAACATCAAGGCTCAGGTGTGCTCAGTCATCTGCCCTGGCTCCACCATCCAGCTGGTAAGTGGTTCAAACACAGGATTATAGGCTTCTTCGCTCTCAGCCACGTATTCTTCCCATGTGTATTAGGGTAATGTTAGAGGCCATAAAAAAGAAATGTCCAAGTTTTAGGGGTTTAATACAATAGAAGTTTATTTCTTGTTTACATAACAATCTAATGCAGGTATTCTGGTTAATGGGCATTTTCCTCCACACGGAGATTCAGGGACAAGGTTCCTTTCATCCTGTGGATTCACCATCTGTAGTGGTTCTTAACCATTTTTATGTTATATATTCCTTCGGGAGCCCTAGTGGCATAGTGGTTAAGTGCTACACCTGCTAACCAAGAGGTCAGTAGTTCAAATCCAGCAGGTGTTCTTGGAAACTCTATGGGGCAGTTCTACCCTGTCCTATATAGTCACTATAAGTTGGAATTGACTTGATGGCAATGGGTTTGGGTTTTTTTGGCATATTCCTTTGAGAAGCTAATAAAAGCTATAGATTTTTCCACCAGAAAAAAAATGCACACATTTACTTTCATACAAAAATTTGCACACTTTTAAGAGGCTCATAGAACCCATAAATCCATCTATAATATCCTATGGATCCTAGGTTAAAAACCCCTGCCTAGGGCCTTGGAGACCTCTGAGTCCAGTTGGTAGCTGGGGGAAGAATGTATGGAAAAGGCACAGCTACTTCTTAAAAGCCCTGGCCTTGAAATGGCATACATCATCCTATTCACCTTCCA